GCACTACTAGTGCCAGTACTAAACAGCAGACAGACCCTTCGCATAATGCAAGGGACCGCCGGAGCATGCATGCATACACCCCAGGTAGGATCATCTTTGTACATTGTACTTACTGCTTGTATTAATAATATTGATCTCAGGTTTTTAGAATTGCACTTTTTACTGCACTTAAAATGGTCTCCGATACACAACCATTCGCTTGCACGATCTTTGAGCGAAAGGCAATCACAAGCAGTGTACATTGTAGGTAATACCGTACAGTCATGCTGTTCCCAAATAGTAGCTACCGAGCCTTGGATGTACTTGTAGTGAACCTGAGGTGCTGTTTAGTATATCTACGAATCTGTTCTTGTTCTTGTTTGGTGTTCGGTGTGCTGTTGTTATATTGTTATCAGGTCGAGAAAGTCCTCGGTCGTCTAGATGACCTATCACTTGCCATACCGTGTCACCAACCATGATAGTCCAGTCTCACCAGAGATGTCACGCTACATGCTTGTGCTGCGCACATGGTGCCTGGTCTTGTGAATCTACTTTCTACCAGTGATACGAACTATTAGTCCATACCTTCAACTTGTCTTGATCAGTCGTCAGCATGTTGCGACGACCGTAGTAGAGACTATGCGTGGCACGTCACCGACAATCTGTGCATGTTTTCGTAGAATCATCTGGATCACTGAGTATCTCTTTGGGCTTTTTGGAAGAGAAATGTCACCATCCTGAAAGCTTGTCTCGTATCCTTGTGTCAACGTTACAGTACGTGTTCTATCATCAACCAAGGGGCTCATGAGTCATGAAGTATCTATATTCAATATAAACTAAGAGTCAGCTATATCCAGGTGCAGATTATACTATCTCAGAGCACTTGCCGTCAATAATCTACGATTGTCCTCAACCCCACCTATATGAATGAAATAAAAGGCCCGCCGCCATATTTAAATAATGATTTTTTCCATCCCGTTACTTGAGGATCTCACTCTACAGGCATTGTCTTATCTATTTTCTCCTCAGTGCACTGTTCAGTAAACAATTCTACTTGCATGCTTTTCTGTTTACTCTCTGTACATTGTTCTCCGAAGTGGAGATTTTCACTACAAGTATTAAGAAGAATGGTTTTATAAAATGAAATCTGAAATGTCAGGTCACTGACGTCACATTATGAGTGTGCTTGCAGGGAATCACAATGATTGGTTTCTGGAAATACATGTATGATTGAAGGTGTTGTAGGACTTTTAAAAGTGAAACTATGAACAGAATGCTACTTATCGAGTCTTACTTAGGAGAACGTAACAAATAATCAGCTCGCATTGCTCAAGCTCTATTTCACAGATATGATACAGTGTGTGAGGACACGATGGATGATAGATCAGGAATATATCGGGTATCACTAAAAAATATGCTGCATCACGGTAGCACTGGGCTGCATCCTATGCTTGCCCTGAGCATCTGCCAAACGGGAATCCAGTTAGTGCAGCATGCAACCAACCGCTCTGGCTTCGGTGGCAGGAACAATGATCATTGTGTTGACTGTTCCATTCTTGCTCGGTGCTCTTGCACTGCACACGCAAACCACGGTATACTGTGAGCTGTGGCATGTGCATCACGTTGCACACTATCGCTACAAGTACATGTGGCTTGTACAGGCAGTGTATTGAGCTCCAAAGAGGTGTGATATACAGTACAAGCAGGACTTGTACAGCAGGACTCACTCTAGATTCTTCACATGCCAGGTCAGAAGTACCTGACCCTCATTGCCACTAGACAGGGCAATCGGAGTACATCTTGGAGCCACTGCACACTGCGTGGATGTGCTCTCAACCAAACATGTTCTGGCAGTTGATCCAAGTCCTCCCTCAGGCATACACAGCTAATGAATTCAAGCCAGATACTGTACGGCATTCTGTACTGTTCACATCAAGGCCATCATGTCACAGACATCCACCGGTGTTCCCCGTGCATAGAACTAAACCCCGAGACATGCAGTTGAGAAGCCAGCACAGGAGCACGCCCATGACACCGGTCCTGATAAATAGTCTCTCAATGATGCAGCACTCTCGCTCTCGTACCATCACAAGCGACTCTTGCCGGTGATCCACAGCTGATCTGGCAATGGCGAAATCCTCCAACAGCACGCTCAGCTTACACTTGCCTCAGTAGGATTCTGCTGGAGATCTGAGGAGCACCACCACATACACAAAACATGATTTTTTTAAAATAGCAACAAGGCCATTTTAGTATTACATGTAGTAGTTAAATGTGTTCAATATCCTACTGTGATTCGCAGTCTCTTTCCCAGGGGAGAACTACTTGTAGTGAGCAAGTACGGGTACAAGTACAATATGCCCATCCGCCCATCCAAATTTACAGAGCGTACATAAAGGGGTGTCAAAATGGGGCAGCTTGACTTGCAATCGAAAAAAAGACATTCATGTTCGAAATACGGCACACACAATGAGAACACACCATTGCAACACAATAATTGCAATAAAAACCTCGAGTCAGAGCTACGTAGCTACATGGCAATGCTGTGATTCATGGTTGATGTGATTCATGAGATTCACGAGGCTCCGGATGCTGCAAGCTCACCTGCTTCCTGTACATGCTGTGCCAATACAGTACGCATAGCATCCATCGTGCCGGTGGATAACCAGCCATCCTTTTCCTGAAGTAGTCACACCACATGGTACATTACAAAAAGACATGAAGCGCCCCTCAGATGAAGTATTATGCTGCACACCCACCCACCTACCCCCCCCCCCCCACACACACACACGCACAGATGTTCAGATATTATGATAACATCCAAAGCACTGATTGATGCATGTACCGGTAATACTGATTGGGCCATATTGGCCGACAGAATTGTCTGCAAAGTAGAGTACTTCGCTCCTTGGTTCCGGAGAAAGCACACTTGATAGAATGTGCATTGCTTGACTAGTTGCAGTATTGAAGTAAACTAATGATTAGATGGGCCAGGGAAAGGGAAAGCTGGGCCAGAGAAAGCAGGGAAAGCATAACGCAAGATTATTGTTTCGGATACATATCATCATCAATCATTTCGAAATAGTGGTTGCGACTTCGGCGATGATTTTTTAGGAATGAGTTTGCTCCTACACTGGAGCTCGCGCTATTCCGCCGACTTTACTTGACTGACTCACGACTGCCATCCAGAGCACACGAGAAGTCCATCGAACCTTCGACTCGGCAAACCTACAAGAAAGCACCACTCCCTGCTCAATACACAGTGTTTCGGGGAATTCACCCCTCATCAGTTGAGCTTGAGTAGGCTGAGGAAGATTGTGCTTGAAGAGCACCACTTATATAGTGCTCTCCAGGCACAAACATCACCAGGGATACAAACTTACAGAGACGCTCCGTTTCCAGCGCGACAAACACCTCGTGAACGCCAGATAGCAGCGTGAGTCAGTGTCGCTCTTGGACGGTGAGAACACTATTCCTATTCGGCGGAATAGCGCGAGCTCCAGTGTGGGAGCAAACTCATCAATCATTTCCATCATTTTTTGACAACCTGTTATGTTCAACGGAAGGTTCATTCATGCTTTTCCTGGCACAACTCGTTTTGGCGCCTTTAATGCGTTGCACTGCCTACCGAAAAGATACGTCATGGGACATCAAGCTTCAAATCATCGGCACGGATACTTTAGGAATAAGCGGGATGCAGAAGTACCACTCCCATCACTCTTCCCCTACTACAGAGCTTCTCGTAAAAGAAAACAAACACGGGCCCTTACTGTGCATGCCTCGACCCTGCCATCCATCATCTTGTCCTGAACATCGTCCAGCATGACATCACAGACTTGGAACAGCTTCTGGCCTTGGTTCACTTTCGTTCCCGGCTGGTACATATGCGTTTCATAGTCGTCCGCTGCATCCCTACATTGTCAGTGCAGAATTGATCAGGACACAGGAAACAGCACAACAAGACACGTGTGCGCGTGTGCACACACACACACCGCACATATTAGCATAAACAGTATTAAACACGCGAGAGGGACAGAGAAGAGAGGAGGGGTGGGGGGACACAATGCTGCACAGGCCAGGCTAGAGCCAACAAACCCAAAACAATCTTATAATATTCATCTGCAAGTAAACACAGCAAGGGTGTACTTACCCAGCACCCTGATCCTTTCTCACCAAGGCAACTGAACACGACTGGGTCGAAGGCTTGGCTACTGTTGGCCCAATGGCGGATAACATGCGCTGCGGGCGCACTTTCTCTGGTTTGCCACGGTAGACAGAACGTTTTGAGCGGAAATCCAGCACCTGGTATCTGATGGAGAAAAAAAGAGAGATAACGAGAGGGAGAAAGAAAGAAAGAGAGAGAGAGAGAGAAAGAGAGAGGGAGAAAGAGAGAGGGAGAGAGAGAGAGGGAGGGAGGGAAAGAGAGAGAGAGAGAGAGAGAGAGAGAGAGAGAGAGAGAGAGAGAGAGAGAGAGAGAGAGAGAGAGGGAGAGAGAGCACAAAAATACATGGACTTTCGGTGTCTCAGCATGTAACAGTGTATTTTTCTCGTGAACATGTCTACAGTTATTCATTACAGTCAGTATTTTGTGAATGTGAAAAGAAGAAGAATGTCCCAGCTACCAAAAAGAGGTAGAGAGAGAGAGAGAGAGAGGTAGAGAGAGAGAGAGAGAGAGAGAGAGAGAGAGAGAGAGAGAGAGAGAGAGAGAGAGAGAGAGAGAGAGAGAGAGAGAAAGAGAACGTGTCACTTACTTGTAAGCTTCTGGGTCAGTGCGTGGATCATAGCCGCGCTTCACCCAGCATAGACGCCACGGTCCTGATGAGAACATGTATGCCAGCGTCTTGTTAATCCTGAGAGGAGCAGCGACACATGATTGCACAGCACATGGATATACAGCACATGGTTATGCAGCGGGTGATACATGACAAGAACAAGAGCGTTATGAAAAGAAAAAAAGGTGCATATTAACCCGACTGCTGCATGGACGATAAGTGCTGCGAATAGTGATCATGCGCCCTGGCCTGAGTAGCTCGCTTGGCCAATTGAAAGTCTGCCGACCTGGGCCACATTATGTTGCTAAGGCATGCACAACCCCAGTCACAGCGCGCAAGTTGGTTGAGTTTGGCCGTCAGGAGGCCAGCGCAAGGTATCCGGGGCGCGGGTCTGATTCCAGCGAGGGGCAATGTGGTACCCCGCAGCGCAAGGGTAGCGTGATACCCTAAGCCAGCGTGCGTGCTGCATGAGTAGCGTGATACTCGCTGAGCGCTTTTGCTGTTGCCTAGCAACGCGTTTCTGTCTTTCCTGGGCCCCCAACGCATGTTGGGTGGCCCTGCGCATGACTGCACGTTGTCATAGCAACCTTGGAAACCTCAAGCCGGTTACCAACAAGCTAGGAATCAGACCAAGCCGCCGAATGCCCCCGCCGGCCCCCGGCGCTTCATTGCAATTGAATTAATATTTGTCCAGAATAGTGAGCTAGGACAGATCAAGAGGCGTGGGTGGGAGGGAGAAATTGCAAAACAGTTGGATGCACGCAGCAGCACAGCTAGCAAGAGAAAGAGCCGTGGATGGGTTTGTTCCTGTTTTTGATGGCTGTGGCCATCCGTTGGCCCAGCGGTCTCGTGTGAGTACGGTGTTTGTTCGTGCTGCCAGCTCGCGCCCGGCATTTGTTTGCGCTGGCAGCTCGGGCCCGGTGCGCGAGTGAAACCGAACCGTGACAAAGGCTTTCGCTCTTTAGTGCTATTGACTGGCTTTTCGTACGATGCCTATTGATGTCTAGAGACATGCTGTCTAGCCTTCCCCTAGTACGCATTCACGGGGCTTTGTTGAAGTTCGTGCCGTGAACTGCCAAAGGGAACTGTTTGAATGGTGCTGGGGCGAGTGCGACATTACGGCGTCCCTGCAGCCGGCCTAATCGCGTTTGTCGCCACAACCGATTTTAACCCGACTGCTGCATGGACGATAAGTGCTGCGAATAGTGATCATGCGCCCTGGCCTGAGTAGCTCGCTTGGCCAATTGAAAGTCTGCCGACCTGGGCCACATTATGTTGCTAAGGCATGCACAACCCCAGTCACAGCGCGCAAGTTGGTTGAGTTTGGCCGTCAGGAGGCCAGCGCAAGGTATCCGGGGCGCGGGTCTGATTCCAGCGAGGGGCAATGTGGTACCCCGCAGCGCAAGGGTAGCGTGATACCCTAAGCCAGCGTGCGTGCTGCATGAGTAGCGTGATACTCGCTGAGCGCTTTTGCTGTTGCCTAGCAACGCGTTTCTGTCTTTCCTGGGCCCCCAACGCATGTTGGGTGGCCCTGCGCATGACTGCACGTTGTCATAGCAACCTTGGAAACCTCAAGCCGGTTACCAACAAGCTAGGAATCAGACCAAGCCGCCGAATGCCCCCAAATTCCGCGTTGGTCAGCCGAATGACCTTAGTGTGGTATTCAAGCGCTTCAGCTACATGTACGTAGTTCAAATGCGTGCCCTTCGCATGTTTGTTTTCCCTTAGTGACACCGAGAAGGGTTTGAATCGCATGTAGTCGGAGCGTGCGTGCACACATGGGGTGTCCCACACCGCCATGGCATGGGGTGTCCCACACCGCCATGGCATGGGGTGTCCCACACCGCCATGGCATGGGGTGTCCCACACCGCCATGGTCTGGGGTGTCCCACACCGCCATAGCATGGGGTGTCCCACACCGCTAGGTGGGAGCTATAGCACAGCAACAGAGTGGTGCAGATAACTTATCATAAGTATCAGAGGCGTGCGTGCACAGTCAGTGCTAGAACGTGAGTGCATACGTCCGCGAATGGGCGTACCAGCGTGTGCGCAGCGTGTGTACCTGCATGCATGCTTGTGCGGTGTCAGACTGTGGGTGCGTGTACGCGTGCATGCATGTGTGTGTGCATGCGTGGGTGTGTGTGCGTGCGTGTGTATGTGTCTGCGGGTGCGTGTATGTGGGTGTGGCTGTGCGCGCTTGCGCGCCTGCGGACGGCGAACAGTTACTTTCCACAGCGTACATAGTTCTTGTAGCAGGCACTTCGCCATCTGCCGAGTTTCATGATCTCGGATTCGGTGAAGCCGCTCATTGCTCCTGTGGTTGCGGCTCCGGCTCTGAGGCCGTGCAGTGAATACTGGATAGGTGGGTACCCTGCGCTGCTCAGGAGCTGACGGATTAGACGGGTGAGTCTTGGTGCAGTTAGGAACTTGCCACAGCTGTCAACGAACAGTGGTCTATTGGGCAGGTTGGGGCGTCTTGATAGATAGGTATGCATGGCTTTGACCGGGCAAACCGTTGAGTTGGTGGTTGTGAGCCGGACGGAGTGACCCTTGCCGAGTTGGTCGGTCTTGGACTTCTTGATTGTGACCTGTATTGCCTGCGGCGTGATGGAGAGGTCTTCTGTTCGGAGGCCACCGTCTGACATGGTCGTGGCGGTTGTGGAAGTGTACTCACTTGCCCGGAGACACGCAAAGAAGCCCAGGCAAATAGCTGCCCATACCATGGCTCGGTCGGTCGCGTTGAGGTTAGACCGTATCAGGGCCCTGCGCATAGCTGCCATGTGGGGCAGGAGGATTGGCTTACTGGCGTTTTTAGTTCGGTTGGCCTGTGCACGTGCCACTCCTTGAACTGCGAGGTCCACTCTTCGCGACGAGAGATCTTTGCCGTTTTCTTTGGCAATTGCCCGGATCGCCGACACATACAGGCGGACGGTTGACGCGGCATGTTGACGCGCCAGGTAGGCTACAAACGCCAGCATGATGGTGTCTGTAATCACCTTGGTGCCGACTAGTTGGCAGAATTGGTGCAGTCGTTTCCAGGCTGTCGCGTATGTGGCACGTGTGGACGCTGACAGGCCTAGCCACTGGTAGGCCTGACCCTCCAACATCAGAGGGAGTAGGTGCTCTCGGGCACCGGAGATGGCGTGTCTTCTGCTGTGGGTGCCAGTCGGCGAAATCGGGCCATCTGAAACCGAGACAGAGAGTCAGCAATCGCATTGTCAGTGCCGGGGATGTGGGAGACTATGACGTGAAAGTTGTGTCGGGCAGCAATGGCAAACAAAGTGCGTACCAGCGCCATTAAGTCGGGGCACTTTGTGCGTGAGCGGAGCCAGATGTCGCATACGCTACGGTTGTCGCAGTGGAAGCGGATGCGCTTCAGATGCAGCTGCGGTGCCCATGTGGATGCTGCGGCCACGATGGCAAAGAGCTCCATCCACGCGATGGATCTCTGGGATTGGTGCCTCTGCCACCGGTGTTGGAGCCACCGGCCGGCGAAGAAAGCACCATAGCCGATGGCTCTAGATGCGTCCGTGTAGAGGTCCATATCGGCGGCGGCTGACCACGTGGGTTCTAGGAAGAAGGCGACGCCATTCCAGGCAGGGAGGAAGTCAAGCCACCACTGGATGTCTGCTTTGGCGTCTTCTGTGATTCTGATGTAATCGTTTGGATGCGGGACCGTCGTGCTGAGATCAATGAGGCGGCGCAGAAACATGCGGCCCGCAGGGACCGCCTTGCAGGCAAAGCTGAGGTGACCTATCAGGGACAACAATTCAGACTTGCGGGCGGTAGGGCGGGTATGTTGCCAAGCCTTGAGGGCAATGAGAAGGTCTTCTAACTTGTCGGATGGGAGGCGGATTTCGAAGCGCTCTGTGTCCAGCATGACACCGAGGAATGTCAGGGTTGTACTAGGGCCTTCCACCTTTTTTGGATTGACCGGGAAGCCTAAGTCGTGGCAGGCTACCAGGGCACGGTCAAGCTGGTGCTGTGCGCCGATAGAGTCCGTCGCTCCACCAAGGTAGTCGTCTAAGTAGTGGATGACTGGGGCTACGTCGAAGTTGTGCGACATGACCCACTGGAGGGCGTCTGCGACTTTGTTAAACAGCGACGGTGATGAGCGAAGGCCGAAGGGTAGGCATTTGTCCACGTAATATTGCCCGCGCCAGAACAGGCATAATAGTTCCCAGTCCTCTTTCCGTACTGGACAAATGCGAAATGCGTCTTGGAGGTCGACCTTCCACAGATGGCAGCCACGGCCTAGGGACCGTGCGAGATTTACGCCGTCGTCGACCGAACAGTACTGTACAGAGAATTTGTCGACAGGGATACCATCGTTCACTGAGTGGCCCTGTGGTGCTGACAGATGCATAATCAAGCGCCATTTTTGCACCGACCGTGACTTCTTGGGAACCACACCCAAGCCGGAGACCTGTGTAAGTGTGAAGGGGGGCTCTTGGTAGGGACCGGCCATGCGACCTGCGGCAATTTCACGACCGATGGCAGCATCGACAATGTCAGGGTGCTCAATCGCTGATTTGAGATTACGAGAGACTCGGAAGGTACGGGGACCAGCAAACCCAATATCGAACCCGTAAGACAAAGAATGTATTACGAATGAGGCAAAAGCCGGATCAGGATGCTGACCCAAAGCGTCCTGCAGGTAAGAAACGTTAATGGGGGTTACAGGCGTGTGCAAATGGATTGGCTCGTGAGCGAGGGTGCGTGTAGGAGAGATGTGAGCAGCTGGGCAGAGTGTGTGAGTGCTATTGGCCTGGGTGAGTGTAGAGTTACCGGTGAGTGACTGGAGTGACCGAGTCTCCAAGCTGGGCAACTGCGAGCTATTGGTCGCGGCTGGCGGCGGCTGGCTTTCCTGGGCATGACTTGGCGGGGTGGCTGCCAAAGCATGTGCTGCACTGGTGGCCGTAGCGACAGGCTGCGCGTTGGCAGCGGCCTTGGTTGTAGTCGCGGCAGACAGCTGGGGCGTTTGGGTGAGCGGTAGCCCCTGACCGCTGTGCCGGAAAGGGGCGTTTGGCTGCTGGCCCGTCAGACAGTGAAGCTAGGCTACGGGCGCGGGGGCAGCGAACTGTTAAATGACCTTGCCGGTTGCAGTGACGGCAGGGAGGCAGGATGGAGTTTGTAAACCACTCCGACCAGAGTTCCGGATCTGACGTGGCAAGGCTAGATTTGCTGCGTGCAGCTCTTGCACGGAACGACATGTCGAAGCCAGACCACGCACCGAATGTATAGCGTGCGGCCGCTTTCACGATTGTGCTTTGGTACTTGAATAATTCCGGACCTCTGCCGGGGTCGTGGTGGAGGGCTACTTGGGCGAAGGCTGAGAACGCCTCCAACCACGATGTCAAGTCTACAACTTTCTTTAGACGGGATGTCGACGACATGGCAGATGGCACAAGGGTGATGTGGTCCCCCGTCCCCTGCAGGGTGAACCCACTGTCCGGACCCATGCTCGTATCAAAAGCCAGCTCTCCCAGTACCCTACCAAAATCAACGTACTCACGTTTGATAATCTTGTCCGTGAGATGGTCGCTGAGGGCAGGTAATGGGATGGATGGTGGACGCTCTGGGGCGAGCAAATCGCCGTCCAGGAAGAGACTCTCCTGGTCTGGTCTTAGTGCTGAAGCCAGTGAAGGCTGGACATATTCAGGCTCAGAGTCAGGCACCACAACATCACCAGAGACTGGACCAGCCCGCTGTGCTGCTGTTGCTGCTGCTACAGTTGGCTGTGCATGTGGAGGTACCACCGGTAGACCCATCGAAGTTGTCAATGACGTCATGCAGGACGCCACTGCATCTTGCACGACCCGAGAGATCTCGGCAGATTGCTGCGACGTGAACGCGGGCGACGAGTCAGGCTGGGTCGCGGCCGCGGGGCTTTGAGTGGCCGGGACTGCAGGACTAGCCCGCCGACGCGTGGTCTTTTTTGCGACCTGGCTCGTAGACTTAGCTTTGTTTCTTGCCTGGGCCGACAAATGCTCATGCAGACGGCTCACCTGGGCTCTAAAATTGCCTGAGCAAGAAAGCCCCAGTTCTCGCAGTCGAGTTTCAACTCCGTCGACTTTGAGTTGGCGGAGATCGGAAAGTGATGGCACGGAGCTCATGGTGACGGCTCAGGATCTCCTGCGACTGCGGAACTTTAGAAATTTCAAATCTCGCCGAGTAATTGCAACAAGGAAGAAAGAAATTGCAAAACAGTTGGATGCACGCAGCAGCACAGCTAGCAAGAGAAAGAGCCGTGGATGGGTTTGTTCCTGTTTTTGATGGCTGTGGCCATCCGTTGGCCCAGCGGTCTCGTGTGAGTACGGTGTTTGTTCGTGCTGCCAGCTCGCGCCCGGCATTTGTTTGCGCTGGCAGCTCGGGCCCGGTGCGCGAGTGAAACCGAACCGTGACAAAGGCTTTCGCTCTTTAGTGCTATTGACTGGCTTTTCGTACGATGCCTATTGATGTCTAGAGACATGCTGTCTAGCCTTCCCCTAGTACGCATTCACGGGGCTTTGTTGAAGTTCGTGCCGTGAACTGCCAAAGGGAACTGTTTGAATGGTGCTGGGGCGAGTGCGACATTACGGCGTCCCTGCAGCCGGCCTAATCGCGTTTGTCGCCACAACCGATTTTAACATAAGCCTTTCCGTGTTGGCATTGCCAAGCAAGCTTGGCAAGCCATCGTATATTAAAGCCAAAAGGAATGAAGGAATGAGAAACGATCGGTGCCAAAGAGGTGCGGGTACACATGCAAGTGCAGAAAAGGCATGTGGGAGTCGCTCACACTTCGCGGCGGTCCGGATATGTTCCTCGCAACACCTGTGTACCGACCCTCGTGGTTGGGTCATGACATTTGCACAGGTCATCTAGGAATGGGCTTCAAACCCGCTTGGATTGATTCTATCAACTTCTTGACACTGCGGAGTACATGACTTCCATAAGGAAGTTAGATTTTCAGCTAGCTTTTGTCAGATTTAGCCAGGTTTAACATACACGGTGCATACTCATCACACGACTCGGTGCAACAGTCAGCAAATACAGAGTTGCAGTAAGCCATATGAACAGAAGACTAGGATATGAATACAATCATGTACTACAACATTACTAAATCAATAGGATGCTGATCGTGTTCTGTTAACAACAATTCTTACTTCTTGATAATGACTCGTGTGATCTTCCTCTTGCCAACCCGCGTCTGAACAGTGTTGTAGAAGGCTTGGGTTGACCAAACAGGTCGGTCCTCAAACATCTGTGAGGAACACACAGATACGCACACACAGACACGCACATACCGACAATATGTTTGTATGAAAGTCACAGGATACACAAACCAAAGCCCGTGATAATGACAACGACGACAACAATAGCAACAGCAGCACCAACATCACTACCACTGCCAACAACAAAAATCACCATTCACATGTTGCAAATAAGCATGGAGAAAGATTGTGATGACTTACTTGTTGGAAGATTGGCGTGAAGATGTGTTCATGTGGCTTGATAGGCGCAAGAGGCACAGCTAGTGATAGTCACAGCACATGTCAAGGTTAACCACAGTCAAACCAAACACACACGCAATGGGATATGCACAAACATTCGCAGTCTCACTCACTTCCTATTCGGTAGTACTCAGTAACTGTATAGCATGGTCAACAGAGCCCTTCCCTTCAATCCCTAGCTTCCATTGTATGATTACGTACATTGCACTCAGTTGTCTGATGATTGCCTAGCGGTATGAAACTCAGAGTTACACCCTGAACGTCCTCCGCTGAGTCTGCTATGTACATTGCACTCTGTGTAATTCATATAATGTAACACTATTTCCTGGCACCTTTTGCTTGTGCAGAAATGTCACACGCGACCCCTTCCTACTAAGTTCCTAGATCCGCACACGGGACGCCTAGCTACAACACTCGTGGGAGTTGTACGCTCTGCAGAATCCCTGTATGTGGCATTTTAGCACAGCCAGCCAGTGTACCCCGTGCAAACCAAGCGGCAATGCATGTAGGTAGAGGATACTGTCTTCACTGTACGGGATAAACTGCGCAGACACAGGTCGGTCCACGCGTGGCTTGGTGTACGCTCTGAACAACAAAGATCATGCAGAAGATAGAAGCAGAAGTAAAGAAGTTGAACATGGAAACATGCCCACCATGAACAAGGACAAGAAAACAGAAGCAGCGGCCATACGTGTGCCAAACAAAGCACACCCACACAGAACTAGTATCACAGTCACATACCTAAATGAGAGAGGACGATCGCTACGGCAGAAGAGGAAAGTTGGAATGTGCAAGAAATCGGTCTCGACGAGTGCAGCTGAACTCAGAGGCTCTGTCAAGATCAAACAAAATCAGACAAGAAGAACACATGCACTTGAGAAGCACTTTGCATACTACGTTTTTCTCTCTCTTGTGTTTGAAGATGCTAGCGCCAATCTCTGCATGTGTCAAGGGTACATTTCCTTCTGTACGCTAATCAGCTCACAACTTGGCCTTGTTGCTCGAAGTGGCTAAAACTTAGCTGGTACAAGTTTGCCACCGGTTTCTGCAAACGGTGCAGGTTCCAGCATGTGATTCTCACACGTCACTGCCAACAGAGCAAGGGTCATGCTGAAGCTGCTGTCAAGGTCATGGACTCTCTCACCACCCAAAAACAGTACCAGCGGCGATCTGGCCAACAGTGCATTCCATCGACGCTTTCCGGAGTGCTGCAACAGCCCTGGTTCATCTGGCAGTTGTTCTGCCCACCTGGACTGCTTTGATATCAGGTCTCACCAAGGACAATTGTACAACTAAATTCATTTGATGGCTGCTCTGCCCATACGACAAGACCTTATCGCAAGTGGATCAAATTATCGCACAAGTAGATTGTACTAGTAGATTGTACTAAGTGCATGTACACTAGTGCAGCTATCAGTGCATGTACACTAGTGCAGCTATCAGTGCATGTACACAAGTGCAGCTATCAGTGCATGTACACTAGTGCAGCTATCAGTGCATGTACACAAGTGCAGCTATCAGTGCATGTACACTAGTGCAGCTATCAGTGCATGTACACAAGTGCAGCTATCAGTGCATGTACACTAGTGCAGCTATCAGTGCATGTACACAAGTGCAGCTATCAGTGCATGTACACTAGTGCAGCTATCAGTGCATGTACACAAGTGCAGCTATCAGTGTATGTACACTACAGTCAGTTTCAAAAAGATTAGCAATCCTGGCGATCGCCCGGGGAGTTTGCCGTCTTACCGTATGCGCGCTCGAGAGCTGGCTGGAAAACTCACTGTGAACTCGAAGAAATAATCCGCGCGAAAGCATGAAAAATGACAACTCACTCACGTCGGTACATGTACGTCTGGTTTACAACAAACGAGTTCTTCCTCGTATCGATATGGAGTCAGAGAGGCCCGGACATGTCGAAAGTGTGGTAAATGCTGATATGACGAGCGGGATGGGTCCCAATTCGTTTCGTGCCCAATTTCTTTGAGCTGCGATGCAATTTACTCTCACGATGTGACGAAAACGACAACGACACGGACTCATTCCCAAGGCCATGACTTGGCAAAGCTATCCGTGTGACTTCGACGACATTTTGAGAAAAGCAGACGCCTGTGAAAGCTGGTAGAAGACGGCGTTGACTCCTAAATTCAAATAAATTGGCGATCTTGAAATACTAAAATAATTCTCAAAGAGAAATCGATCGATCGATGTGCCGTTGTATTCAACAACACGTAGCTACAGCGCAATGACTTCCGTGTTCACTCACACCGTTTCAGTGTTGTGGGTGTGTTCACATGGCGTGAACCAGTCAAGTGTCAGTAAGTTCGGCAGGAAACGCGAGCTCCAACAACAAGTCGTTTGGCGCAGCCACCTTCTTTGGCTTGTACTTTTTGTACCAACGTGATCACCAAAACAATGGAAAAAAGTTTGACTTGAAGATAGTTTGGGATTTGAACTCACACCTTCATGGTCAGCAGACAGCAATCATAACCACAAGGCCAAAAAGGAAGGGATAAATCGTGGGTTTTGATAAAAAAAATCGATACTGACATCCAGGGCAAATTGTAAACCATGGGAAAAGGCCGGAAACCTGGCCGAAATTCTAACTCCTTAACGGCTGGTCCAATTGTTCCCAAACCTTCACAGAACAATTTGCCGTGTCCTAACAAGCCATTCTATGCACTTTGTTGTCCAAATTTCCCTTATCTTCATACTTTTTAAGACCAAAACCTGATTGCTAATCTTTTTGAAATGGACTATAGTGCAGCTATCAGTGCATGTACACAAGTGCAGCTATCAGTGCATGTACACTAGTGCAGCTATCAGTGCATGTACACTAGTGCAGCTATCAGTGCATGTACACTAGTGCAGCTATCAGGCTGACCTGTAATGGAGGTTGCATGGCGAAACGTTGAAGAGGCACCCGGATTCTTGTCAACTGCAGCTGGCAGGAACTGGAAGTCAGCCAACCCTGCAAGGATACAACAAACACCACAAAGCTTTAGTCAACACTGTCATCATTGAAATCTGCCGTAAACATACCGCTTTCGTTGATATCAAAGGGCGAGAATCAAACACAGGCCACATGTCAGGAAATCAGACGCCTGACATAAGTACTTTATTTAGGATTAGCGAAGCAGGACAATGGGACCGGCTCGATAGTAAAAAATATGCCCGTCCAAATGATTGCCCTGGGCAAGAAACACTGAGTAGCAACTAGTCCCGAGTGGTTTCTTGCCTTCTATCAGTACTAAGCGTGTGAAGGCGCTGTGTCCAGCACATTGAGCACTGCTCCCTTTCATATAGAATTAGCTATTTTCTAGGTATTTTCCTGACTATTTTAAAAGGCTTCACTAGTTTGAGGGAAAGACACAAAAGGGAAAAGTCTGAAGAAAAAATTGACTGTCACCACCAGGACAACAGTAATAACAAATTATCCAACACCATACAGATGCATAGCTTACCAGAGAACTCATACTTGACGGTCACACAGCCAACAACTTGCACGGTTGTCGCTTGCTCCTCACTGCCTTCCGGCGGTGGAGTTTTGCGACGGCGAACCTTCAACACCATACCGCAGCAGTGAGATCGGGATGCGTACAGTGGGATGGACTCCACGTCTTTCGGTCTCAAGTGAGCCTCCAGGCGATACGAGGAGTTTGAGAAGACCTGTCACATGGCCAATAACAGTGAGAATGAAGTTTCAGACGAACAGTCATACATAGCTGATAGAATGCACTATTAGTTACACTACACTATCCAAGGTCAACAGGTAACAGGCCGCCGGCAAGTGAACTGCCAGAAAAGCGCAAAAATGCCGGACCCACCAGGACGCGAACCTGGCCCTTGCTCGTCATGAGCAATGCTCTGACTATCTGAGCTATGGGACCAGGCTGAACCTAGAAGACGTTGGCAAAATTTCCAATCCAAAGGCAGGATTGGGATTTTTCTCGCTTTTCTGGCAATTCAGTTCCCTGACCGTTGACATTGAGTTAAAAGTCTCCTATTTCCACAAAAAAAAACTACACAATTGTGCTGTGTTTATCTTCGGCAAATTGCTGAGCACATCTACAACGGTGACACACCAGATTGTGGCATACTGACACATTTTGCAGATGGGTAGGGTCAGAAATGCATATCCAAAGTACTGTGAAAAGGGAAATTCCCAGTACACATTCCACGTGATTTCTTTGCGTGAACGTAGAGTAGAACAGGCTTCTCATACGTTGCAGGAACACGAAGAGGGATCAAGGGATTCTTTGCGTCTCCCGTAATGTAAAGCAGAACATTTCTATTTAGTGCAGAAAAAGACTGCTCACCCGTGATATCTTCGATTCGCCACCAAGGACTTCAATGGCACGACCAACATTGTTCACAAAACCTATCAATAACAGGACAAAGCAGAATAGAATGCGGGTGAAAGAGGAGATGTGTATGCAGTACTATGCACAGTACATGTGCACACTCGGATAGATACCATTCAATCAACAGATCCCGGGGATTGGCTGCAGTTCAAAATAACCACTCAAGATACTGTATCATTAAATTCTTAGATCAAGAATTGGTACAAAGCAACACAGTTAATCGGCTTCACAGTACTTCTCCAGGAGTTTCGTTGTTCTGAACAACATCGTCATCAGTGGATAGAGAATGGAGGGCTCTGGGTGGTCAAAACCATGGAGTTGATAGTGATGAGACAAGGTGATAAGGCGCAGGTGAGAATATCTCTTAGTGGTGGTGGTGGAGCGGTGCCCGGGGAAGTGCTGCGGGCGGGTCGATACAGGTGAGAAAGAGTAAAGGTAGGAGCAAGAGTCCATAACCCAAGAGTATGCAACTGTGATCTCTTTTCTATGGGCCAACCGCGCGGCGCGCTGCCTTCATTACATCATGCCTTCGACGTTGATGGAACGTAAAATCGGTTTTCACGGGTTTGATATTGTGGTAAAGACACACCTGGCAATATGGCGGTAAACACACGCCTGCCCACACACGCTCTCTAGGCTGCAAAGTTCTGGCACAGAGCTCTCCTTCTCACCACCACCACCATCAGTTCGCGCCTGGCGCCTGGTCGATGCATGGCTGGCGGTATCCGGCATAGCAGGCTGGTACATCAAGTAGCGCATGGCACATAGATGATGACACAGCAACGACATAGCTCGATTGCGACGTACGTTTCGTCCCCGCTGGACTCATCAGGCAATCTTCTTCTTGGATGTCCTCATACGGAGCTTGACTCGGCTGCAGCTACAGCTGCAGTGATGTCTTCAACTTCATTCTCCCGGGCCGCGGGTTTGATATTGGCGATTTAAATGGACTTTTTTTAAATTTTTATTTTCGATTTTTATTTTCACATACGAGTTGTTCGTACAAGACTCGGGGTCAAGAGTTCACGAACTTTAATACTACATGTATAGTCAAGAGTCCATAAAATCCATTTGAAATAATAAATAAATAAAATAAATAACCCAGTGGGTTATGGACTCTTGATAATAACGATAACCACGATTATTAATCAAGCGACGAAGACTGTCCATTCGTTTTCTCTGTTGGCGTCTTCTTATTTTAATGTTTACAATAGCCACCAAGAAGATGGGAATGAGTGAATAATGTCAGCGAAGCGCATTTCTGAAGGTGTGGTTGGCGGGCCTTTGCCCAAGCTCTCCACGTCTGATTGGAAGCCACCTATAAACGAAGTATCAATTAGAGAATTCATCACTGACCTAGGAGAGCTGTTTTTAGAATTGAACGTTGGGACGTTGAAGCTTCCTGACGCTACTGTCGTCACGGAAGTAAGGTCGCATCGGGCTGTCCGTTTGTCACCAGAGTCTGCACCAGTTCCACTATCACGTCTCATTGTAGATGAGGATGGTGCCTTCACGTTTGAAGTGCTCTGTGGAGGACTTATCGAGAGCGGTACATGTACCTGGACTGATCTCCAGATATTGAAACCATACTTGAATCGGATGTTGAGTCATGAGAAGTCGAATTTCAAATTCTGTCCTGGTATTGTGTCGTTTGATGAACAGTTTGGGGATAAAATCAGGTTTCCGCCAAGCAAGTTACGGCGATGGGGTTTCCCATCCAAGCGATGCGACTCCACCACATGTAAAGTTCTGTTTGAGCTGGGCCGCAGTGCGCGTATGGAGAGCCGTGTGTTAGAGTCTGTTGTGTGCCCTGACTGTAAGCGTTTCGAGAAGGAGCTAAATTCCTTAAAGAAAACTGCAATGGAGAGATCACCTGCCGACAACCTGCAACGGACCGCAGCATCTTTCAACACACCCCTAAAGTATCTGTCTCCTTCCAGCCGGTCTGCCCACTTGTCCAGTTCAAGAGAGAAGCGGTGGAATCTGACACGCAGTTTGGCAAAGTATGAGCACTTGGCCATCACATTGTCTGAGAAGCAGTCAGGTGAACTCTCACAGGCTTGCAAAACCATTGAGCATGACTTTCCTCATGAGCTCCAGACCGTTATGACAGGGAATGAAGGCCAAGATGAATCACGTGAAGCGCTGCAAGACGCTTGGGAGAGCGACAAAGCCGCTTGGACACACGACCAGGCACGCAATGAGAATGGCTCCCATGGCAACCGCTGGAGCATGCTAACTTACAGGGTTGCGTTGGCAGTGTTCACACGTAGCACGGCTGCCTATGAAGCGCTTCAAGGGTTTGGCATATTGAACCTGCCGAGTGTACGATCCCTGAAGCACATCACAAGTGCTTACATTGAAAAGCCTGGCCGGTGTGAAGGGAGCATTCAGTACCAAAAGGAGCGATATGATGCTCTGAAGCTTGAGAAGGCCAAAGAAGCCACCCCTCCAATTGGGGAAGGTATCCTTATCTTTGACGAAGTAAAAGTCATAAGTAAAGTGCTATGGAACTCACGCAGCGAAGAGATGTATGGGCTCGCCATGACGGACGCGGATATGTCCAGTCTCGGCGATGTGTTCTCGGAGTTAGGCGAAAAGAAAGTGGAGCGCACAGAGTATGTCCTACAGTTCATTTGGCGGGACATGACGGCCAAGTTCGATGTGTATGGTCCGTACTTCACCTCCCAATCTTCACTTGACTCGAAGTTCACCCTGGCGTGTCTTCTAGACACCCTCCGTCTCCTGCACGATTTTGGCTTCAAAAGCAACGCGATTGTTTGCGATGGTGCGGCGACCAACATGTCCCTCATAAAGTCCATGATGGGGGTCCGTGGTTCGTTCGGACACAAGGCACCGGAAACTGCCGATCGCCATACGGTGCCTTCCTCCATCTGTCATCCGTTCTGGCCAAAGCAAAGGCTGTATTTCATAATCTGCCCCTCTCATCAATTGAAAAATATGATCAACGCATTGAATTCATCGAGAAGCCGTAACACTCGTGGAACCAAGGATTTCCAGTCTTCAAGTGGAACCAGTTTTGGTTGGAAGTGCATTGATGACTTGTATGAGCGTGAAGTCAGCCGGATGAAGCAGTGTGTGCCACGAGAAGTCCCAAAGCTGCGCAAGAACTTCGTTCTCCGGGACGCATGGACTAAACTGAATGTCCTCCCAGCAAAGGTCATGCAGCAAGACGAGGTTCTGACCGAGCTTGCTCAGTACCTGTTAACGCCACATCCGGACAACCCACTTGTTGAGGCTTCCCACCAGTATCTCTCAGCGTGCAACCTGATGTTTGAGATGGGGACCCTCTCTCACATTCCCGTCAAAGGGCCCGATTCAGAGCCTCTTCTGTGCATTGTGGAAGGTTTCATGTTCTTCGAGGACTGGATCAACAGTCTGATTGCACGCCATCCTCACTTCGTGCCTACTAGCCCTCAGCAGAAGGAATTCTTGGCTTGGCAGACCTGGGATCTCCTTAGGCTTATGCGATTCGGATTCGTGGAGTTCTGCAAACACTTCACAAGAAGAAATCCGTCCTACTACATTGTCCCGGTCCGTGTTACAGGAAGCGCAATCGAGACGGTGTTCTCCCAACTCAAGCACACTGCTGGAGGCCGCCTGACAGCTGCAAATTACGCATCGTCACGTGCTTCCCTTGATGTAAAGCACAGCAGCATACCTTCACACCGCTCTAACACTGGTTACCGTGATCAGCCAGTTCACTTTGCGGCTGTGCCTAGTCTCTTGCGTAAGAAGTGATGCACGGCATGGCGGCTTTTGTGTACCCGGATCATTTGCTGCGGGCAGCATGGTGCACAAGCACTCATTTCCTGCTGTAGCAGTTTGTTTCATCACTTTATCACATTTAATGTGGCTATGGAGCCTGTATGTAGCACACTCACAGCTTTAGTCTGTAAGCTTTCAATTTCTATGCATGTTGAAGAGTCCGCTGGTCGGAATAACGCATTCTTCCCCATTATTTTTTAACCAAAGTTCCTTCTTGTTGTCCTTTGTACATGTGCTGCTCGTACTAAAAAGCAGCCTTACTTCATTGATATCATGATCCTAACCATAGACACATTTTGTAACCTTTCCTGCCGTATATCTTCCATTCCTTGACTTGTGGTTATCAAGATGGACCCTTGACGATAAGATCATTCAATGCCAGCTGCCTAGAAGTGGACTTGTTTGCAAGTCACTCCCATTGAGTGGGCCGGTTGAAGAGTTCATTGGACTCCAGGGTATTTTGCAACATGTAGCCCCATAAAAGCACATTCACAATGCAATGGTTTTTGAATTCAAGGTTTTGCCAACGGTCCATAGCCCGCTTTACGGTGTCTTGATTTCAACAATCACGTGAACACCCAGAGTCCATTTAGACATAATTGGGACGACATCACCCTTTCCTCAAAAATTCTTGTGAGCCTTGTTTTTTGCATGGGTTGAAGGCTCCGTTTCTTTCATCTATGGACTGTACTGTATTGTAGTCAACCAGCTAAACCACTACACAAATCTGATTGTCATGTTTGTGATTGAAACAGTCAGTAATCTGAGGTGTAACACATAACTACATATCAAGGGCTACCATGTTGGCAATGAAAACAGGTGCCAATTGAAAGAATACATGCATCGGATCCAAGTGCAGACGAAAGCAACCGTCAATCACACGCAATGTCAAGTAAAAAGCAACTGTCATAATATTTTTATCGGGACGTTCGAACTCTACGTTCTCTCTGCCAAAAGTTTGCAAGCACAGTCTATCAATGGAGTGCACTATACAGGTGATACATGGTATATTATGCAGTTGCAGGGTGTAGTCTGTCACGTAGGTTCAAGCCACTTGTTGTAGCTGAGCCCGAATTCAGAAGCATAATTTGCTCTGCTGTCTCGACCACCTCGCCAAGAACAGCATTTAGCACCTTCACCAGCAGACGATGCGCAACATTCTCGATGGTTACCTCGGCAAACCTGTCTGGAAAAGTTGCTGCCACAGACTCAAGCAAGGGCGCATGGA